GAAGGGAGCTGATGGTGTCCTGTGCTCCAGGTGTCCCGAGATGGGGGTGCGGCCTCCCCTGCCACCGAGGGCCGGGGCAGCAGTGAAGTGGAAGGGGGCAGGACGGCGCTGGACAACAAGACCTCCCTCCTCAACACCCAGCCTCCGCGTGCCTTCCCAGGGCCGCGGGCGCGAGACTACAACCCGTATCCCTACTCGGACACCATCAACACCTACGACAAGACAGCCCTGAAAGAGGCAGTGTTCGATGACGACATGGAGCAGCTTCGAGATGGTTGGTCTCTCTTTGGTCTGTTGTCACTGTCCAGACACGCTTCCCTGTGCTTCCTCTCCTGCCTGAGGAGCTCTGGGCCTACTGATCAATGTAAATGAGAGGCTGGGTGTGTTCTGGTTAGTCCTTTGTTCAGAAGCTCCCTTCTGTGTGCTGGAACAGTGAACAGAAGTACAGGCGGTCCCGCCTTCTGGAAGTGTGGTGGTGGAGGCAGTCAGGGAACAGTCCCACAGAGTGAAACGGCCGCTGCCACTGCAGCACGTGAAGGCTTGGCTCTAGGAGCAGGATGTGATCTGGAGGGCCAAGGGAGCAAGAGTGAACGAGGCGGGGACAGGAGAGCATTCCCGCTGTGGAAGTCAGCAAGCCCTCTGGCCTGTACTTGCTGGGTCCTTGGGCTGTTGCATGAGACCTCATATCACTGCCAAGAGGCTGCCCTCTTTCTCCCTCAGCAGGCTTTAATCAGGCCTTCCTGAGCCGCATGGACTCTGAACTGCAGCTGGGAGGAAGGGCAGCTGCTGTCCACGTGCCAGCCGAGTGCTCTGCCTGCACCATCTAATTGAGATAGGATTGTTCTCATTTTACAGATTGAGAAACTAAGGTTCAGAAAGGTTAAGGTCTTTGCACATAGGTAATATGGAACAGAGCTGGTCTGGTTTTTCCTGGCTCCCATGTCCATTAGTGAGTAACCAGTGAGTAGGTATGTACTGGTATGATGTATTTTATCTGGAACTTTTTTCTTTTTACCTCACTGTACTATTCACATGTATGTTTGGGTTTATTTCAACTTGATTTTTTTTTTAAATTTTATACATATGTGTATAAGTTTGGTTTTAAATTTTGTTTTGTTTTCTAAGCTTGAATGAAGAATTAGATTAGAACCCTACATTAAAGTTCTAAACAGGCTGGGCAGGGTGACTCACCCCTGTAATCCCAGCACTCTGGGAGGCTGAGGTGGGTGGATTGCCTGAACTCACAGGTTCAACACCAGTCTGAGCCAGAGCAAGACCCTGTCTCTAAAAAGTAGCCAGGTGTTGTGGCAGGCACCTATAGTCCCAGCTACTCAGGAGGCTGAGGCAAGAGAATTGCTTAAGCCCAAGAGTTTGAGGTTGCTGTGAGCATGACGCCACAGCACTCCTCTCCAGGGCAACAAAGTGTGAGTCTGTCTCAAAAAAATGAAATTCTAAACAGTTAACATAAACTAAGGGCCTCCTGGGTATCATGAAGTGTATGGGTTACCAGGAAGAGAGAGGTAAATAAGACACAGTCCCTGGCCTGGCCTCAGAGAGTTCAAGGCCTGTCAGGGGAACAGACTGGCAGTGCTCTTACTAAGTATGAAAGGAGACCTGTGCTGGAGGCAGACGGCACGGCATCCACGGGATGCACAGGAGAGAAAGCTGCACTCTGCAGAGGTCAGACAGTGGTGGATGCTGAGGGAGGAGACAAGTCCTGCTGTCTGAAAGCAGAAGTGGCCCTGGGGACTGAAAGTGTAATCTCCAGACTATTAGTTGCTAGTTGCTGGTGAGGAACAGCTCAGTCAGTGCCCGGGCATGTTTCCTGGGCAGGAGGCTAGTGGTATATAGTATTTACGCCTCCGAGCTCTCTGGGAGAAGTGCACTTTTACATTCATTGCGTATGGAATTGGCACATCACTTAATCTTTATCGATTGTTGATCTCAATTAGAGTAGAATACGGTTCAGAATGTAGGTTATTATTCTCCAAATGTGTACTAAGATGCTTAAAGGAAAATGGGGGGTGGCAAAAGAAAATTGATAGGAATTCTTTACCATTTTAGATTTTCTTGCATGATTGCTCCCAGATTAATCTTAGATGCTAGAGAAGCATACAAATATACATTTAAGTAGTTCCTGATGACCTATCTGATTTGTTGTTTCATCCTTTCTGATTAAAATTGAATAGAGTTGGCTCGGCGCCTATAGCTCA